TTCTGTTGTTAATTGTTTTTTCATTAAATTAATGAAGAATTAAGGACAAGAATGAAACGTAATAGATACATATAACAAAACAATAAATTGGCTCACAAATGCTTCTCTCAAAGTTTCTGGATACGTTTACCCCCAATTTAAAAAAAGTTGTATTTGCGAGGTTTGGGATTATAGAACTTTTTGAAGATTTGAAGAAGTTAAAAAYTTTATATTAAAAAATTTGAAGAAAGGGAATAAATGTAGGTACTGAAATGTCTGTCATGTCTAATTTTTGCTAAAATCACTGTTTCAAAACTAATTTTTAATACATAATAGACAAAAATGGTTTATAAGTTATTATAAAATCATATTTTTTATATACTTTCCCAAAAAAWTTTACGGACTCATTAATATCTCTAAAATGAGTTTTTTTCGTACCCAATAAGAGTATCTACCTAAAATTGTTATTTTGGGTACTATTTTTTATTTTCAACCACTATTTTCGAGAAATTAATCATACATAATAAGAGGCTTGGATGTGTTTTTAYATGCTTTAACAAAAAAATATTTTATAACACGTAACTAAAAGATTTTTACGACTACCTGCTGTTCCAAACTCGGCTTCGCCTCGTCCGGCAACGATTTGTAAGCAAAAACTGAATTTTATTTTGTACTCAATGTTAAAGAGTGCTTTTATCGATTAATTTCAGTAGATAAAGTAGTCTTTTATCGTCTAGTGAAATAAACTGATTTTTATCTACTGTTTATATTTTATCAACTAATTTTGGTAGATAAAGTTGTCTTTTATAATCTAGTGAAATACATAAAGTAATTTTCATCTACTTATATTCAAGAAATTCTGGTAGGTGAGTATAAAAAGGAAATATTGTACACGACGATAAAGATTGTTTGTCTACTTGTGAAAAAGTCCACTCGTGACTAATCAATTTCTTTATCGTCTTGTATAATAAATAACTATTAGGTACTTGTAACGAAAYTAATTAAATGCGTTAAATGAAACGTGTGTTTCACAACAGAAACTTTTTGTAATAAATATTTATTAAACAAAATTTAATAGAATGCTGTCTCGCGAATTTGCTCATCAAGGTTCTACCCTTGTGCTATTGATCATGAAAATTATTATAAATTATTTTYTTGTTTGTAAAGCATTGGAAGCAGAAAAAAAAATTGTAAAATTACAGTTAAATTTCTGATTTTAAAGTGCTTCACAACATACAAAGTTATGCAGTCACACAATTATGTTTTATTTGGGCAATAACGCGTACTTGACAAACTTATTTTTTTAAGAAGTGGTTGAGAGGAAATCTTGAATAGAGAAATATTCGGGATTTTACGAACAAAAATACTCTCACACACATTTATAAAATAAATCATTGTATTTTTTCAATTTTATACCATACAGTCTTAACACAATATTCCTGAAACATTTATCTGATGTTAATTTTAATCTTTAACCCCCGAAAGTGATTAAATAAGCCGGAGCCTTGCAGGTGAAAGTACTTTTATGATCATCATAAGCATAACTATACGCATCTGGGCACCTATCTTTGAAAAATTTCGGGTAATTTTCAGGCCAGCTTGAAGATTTGCACGTTTGCGGTGTCCCAAAAGCTCCCCGACAACAATACTGATCGGTGTTAAAKGCATTACAAGCTGAGTTACAAGCAATAACACCGTTTCCATTTCGGACTTTTAGTTTTTCGGGACAAGCATCATTCAGTCTGACTTGACAAGCAGCTTTCTTGCAACTGTATCGACCACCATCTCCTTGTCCTCCCAACGGCTCGATCTGTCACAATTTCCACATCATCCCAACAAGAAATAAATAAAATATTACTTACAGCCACCATGATATTAAAACCATCAACTAACGAGACATCGTAATAGTCCAGTCCTCCCCAGCCTTTAAGGGTTATTTCCGCCAGGGAAGCGGGAGGGACACCCCCTGCGCCGTTACACTTTAATTTATTTCCGCAGTCTCCTGTATCGCAGTGATTCGAATTGGGATTACACCAAGTTCTTGCCCAGAAACGACCGGCCCAGTTGGCCGCCGCGTGAACCGAAACCTAAAATATCATCAGTTTTTTTAAAATAAATARTTGGGAGATAGTCTCACTCGTTTGCCCGGCTGAAGAACGAAACCTCCTTCGCTGAGGTGAGRSTGGCCGGGATTCCCTTGAATTCCTACCCAAATGTCGCCACTCTCTCTATTGAGGATTTGGAATTCCACCCCAAAACAAAGTTTTAAATATGCGGTTATAAGAAGGAATTTAATAAACATGGTTTTCAATTCTGCGGTCTGTTTGCTTTTATCGATAYCGAGTGAGTGAATGAGGTGGCGAGCGAGATCTTTCTTATATAGGTAATTGTTGTTGACTTCTTAGAAGATTTAGTTATTGCTGGGCTAAACCCGTCATGTATTATATCTTTATTTATTTATACTTTAATGTGGTTTTCCCACACTATCGCAAAATGTAAGATGGTATAACTGTGATAACGATATTTCTCTTATTAATAATAATGTTGTTTGATCCTTAGATACTTTATTCTAGAAATGAATTTTTATTTTAGGGGATATAATAATGGTCAGTTGGTAATTTTTATCTTATTGGTGAAAAAATTAATGTACATACCAAAAAACTTTTTTTTTCTTCCTCAATTTTTTTTTATATGGGGCTCTTGAGTCTTAAACAACACTTTACGACTCACCATCTATCAGTTTCAGGTCGGATAGTTCAAAAAAAGATACAATGCGTAAATTTGTTATCAAATTTTTATAGTTTTCGATGCTTTTTATTTCATGACAAATTTACATGACAATTAAATTACATTTCTACTTTTTTAAAGACTAAAAATGTATTTTACGAGTTCTACGCATTTGTCTCAGAAACACATCACTCACAGATAATGAATAACTTTTCATTACTTGAATCGGTCATTTCAAAAATTGCTTTAGTCCAAAAATTACGAAATTGAATTTTTGACTTAATAATCATTTAAATCTCATGATTCCTCACTGAGTTACAGAGCTAGATGATTATCAGGCTTAAATTTAATTTTTAGTTTTTGTGTTACAAAATCCAAAAATTTCAAAACGTGGTAGCCGCATCAACTTATAAAAAGAACATATAAGAAAAAGAACATATCAAAATATATAAAAAAAACTGCCTGTTTGATGACAGTTTTGGAAAAAGAGTAAAAAAAAAAGAAGAAAAAACATCGTTTGCACCTTCTATCTTTATGGAATTTAAGCACAACGCAAATAAAAAGGCAGTCATTGTTGCTAAAAATTTTATCGATGGGTTCTCGTCGCACTCTTTTCACATTTCAAAGAATATTATAGTTGTGAACCTCCCAWGTAATAAGGCATATCCTGAAAATATAGCACCGATCAATAAAAAGAAAATTGACAACATCCGACAAGTTCAAWATAGTATCACCAAAGAATARAAAGGATTCAATGAAGAAATACTTCATTGGACAACAGGACCTCAATAAGTTTCATTATGTCCCGTAGCTTGTTTTTTTAATTGTGTTTATTGTTATTTACTTGGAAATAAACATTCATTTCTTCTGATTTTTTCTCCAGGTAATAAAATACTGAAAATTCTGATAAAAATTAAAAGTAAATTATSTGTTCACTACATAAACAACGTGAGTCCAAAGAAAAAAACATTTTTTTTACAAAATTCTGCAACTTCGGGAGCTTAATTATATSATGTTGGAAACTCAACAGACTTCAAACCCAGATTATGGTTTTCACCTTCATATAATACTTTTTTCAAAATTCAGGATTTTTGTTTCTCCTCTTGAAAGAACGGTTCGTGTGACCCACGCTGTTTTTGAAATGACCGATTCACTTGTATAATAAACTACTAACTATTCTGTTAATAATATCTCTTCTATCAAAAAAATACAGAAATACAGTGTTGTTATTAAACAATTATTATTATTATTGAAAGTTTATTGTTATGGCTTTGTTATTAAGTAATAACATCTAATCAAATTTAAGAATTCTTAATCTGCTTTTATAAAGTTTATAGAGAAATCTCTGTTGCCTGATTACCTAAGGAAAAACCCAATGGTGGTTTATCGTCTGACCACAGAAGGGGGCAACTCGAGTAAAAAAAAACGGTTTTGTCATAATGATTTGAACAATGTTAGCTAAAAAACAATTTTTTTGAAATATTTTCACACCACTTGTAGAAGACACACTGCTGTGAATATTTTAATTGAATTATATGCAAATCTAAAATATATTTTATTAATCTAATACTATTGAATTTTATCTTGTAACTTGTATAAAGCGTATATAATTCACTCTATTTATTCATTGTATTGTATTGTATTTTTAGGCTAGAGATTTCCTGATGGAAATAAATACCTATTATTATTAATATTATTAAAATATTATTATTACCATGACACGGTTTTACCAACACAAAGAATAAAAAACGTGTTTTAATTTGTTACAACTTTCTTACTAAAGAATTATTTTTTTTATATTTCTTAGAATATAAAGAATATACAGGTGTCCGGAAAAAACGTTAAATGATTTCTAGGGGTGATTTCTTAGGTTAGTGAACATATGTCTGAAATTGCTTTTTAAGGAGATAACTTTAATTGCTAATGCATTTTCTTATTTTACGTTGACAAGCGTCATTCAAGGAAAAGACCAACAATAAGGAGTAAGAATTTGACGTTTGTAATAAATTTCTTTCTGAGGTTAAACATCAAGTCCTGCATTCTTCAGTGTTTTATACGACACTTACATTGGACAAGTATTTTATAAAAATTATGCTGACCTACTGCACTAGCTAACCGTTATTGTCGCTAGACGATTGCTTGTAACACGGATTTGACTTAATTTTTTATTGTAATTGCGTTTGAAACACTGATAATTAATAAGAGACTGATTTGATCCGCGTTAATAAAAATACATTGTGTGGTGTAATAGTATTTTTTTGAGCCAAGGAGGCAGGAGGGACACTACCACATTCGATTTTTTTTCCAAAAAAAAACTTGAAATACACCCTGTTTTTTGTTATCACAACAGTTTCTGGTGGTGTAATAAAAAAAAATTGAATATTTGATCTGGCAGTACATTATTATAAGTTCTTTGTACTCAAGTTAATGTAATATGCATTTTTATATTGCTTATTTTTGTAAAACGCAGTTTTTTATTTCGAAATTCACTGTCAACACATTACACATAACTTGTAATCTTGCTCTCATTAAACATTATCAAACCATCAGATTAAAATCTGTTTGTCTCTACATTAGCACTTTTCAGTATTTATTGTTTATGTTTCGTGAGAATGTAAATAATGGATTATGAAAAATACTAGAAATTGTGTTTTACTGAGAAAAATATTTTATTAAACAAATACAAAAACGCTTAACCAAAGGTGACGCGATATTTTTCGGCTTGACAGGTGAAGGTACTCTTATGGTCATCATAAGCATAGCTGTAAGCATCAGGGCAATTGCTTTTAAAGAAGGCTGGATAATCGACGGGCCAATCGGAGGACTTGCAGGTTTCAGGTGTGTTATGAGCACCACGACAACAGTATTCATCGGTGTTGAAAGCACCACAAGCTGAGTTACAAGCAATGGTGGCACCTTCACCATTGATAATTTTGAGTTCTTGTGGACAAGTGTCGAGAAGGTTTACACTGCAGGCACATTTCTTACAACTGTATTGGCCACCGTCACCTTGTCCACCAATTGGTTCCATCTAAGAGAAAAACCTTTAGGAAAAACACCTTAAAACTTTGAAAGACTTACAGCAATTCGGATGTTGTAACCGTCGACCAAAGAAACATCATAGTAGTCAATACCTCCGTATCCTTTAAGGGTGATTTCAGCCAAGGAGGCAGGAGGAACACCACCAGCGCCACCACATTCGACTTTGTTTCCGCAGTCTCCAGTTTGGCAATGTTGACTGTCGGGGTCGCACCAGGTTCTGGGCCAGAAACGGCCTGCCCAGTCTTCAGCAGCTTGCAAAGTCACCTAATATAAATGATAAAACCAGTTTTTAAATTTCTGGATAACTTACACTTTGTCCTTGATTCAAAATCAATCCTCCATTGCTAAGATGTTCATGTCCTGGATTCCCTTGGATGCCGACCCAAACAGGACCACCTTCGTTGTTGACAATTTCGAATTCAACGGCTTGAGCCGCTGCGATGAGACCAAGAACAGCTGCAAATGCGAACATTTTGTCACTTGTGTGTGCATTTTTTGCTGATTCTTATATAGCTGGATTTATCTACGTTCTTTTTAAATTTTGAAGTGGTGCTTGAAGATTTCCTCCTATTATTTTGGTTTCGGAGATAAACTAGTTGGCACTTAGTAACTAAAGTAACTTAGTTTATCTTAAAGTATCATTTGCAAAATTTCGTTAACGATATACACTTGAGTGCAAAAAAACGCAACATTTTTTTTTATAATGTAATTTGGTCTGTTAATATGTGTTTTTTGACTTGTCACAATTCACAATTTCATAATTGTCAGACATCTTTTAAACTTCTATCAATGATTATGACACTGCATTGGCAAGACCACCAAATAAGACATTTCTTTTGATAGTTTTCTAACCTTTTTGGCAACAGCCTTTTTCACACTATTAAAAATTTGACAATTTTGTTTTTGTCAATTGGCTCAAGTATATGTAAACTACCAATATAAAAAAAAAGAATAATTCACGCCAATTCTATCAACTTTGTGCAACTGCAATAATTCGAAAAATTTTTTGGATTCGTAAAAGTGTTGTAGTAATCAAAGACTAATTTTGGACAGTTTCATCTGTTTATGAAACTAAAAAATACAAAATGAAGACAATCATAAACTTTTTTAAGAAAATTAACCAGAAACTCATTTTTTCTCTGGAATTTACTTTATCCTACATAGTAATTAATCAACATTTTAAATTCACTACCATAATTTAAACAGGTTTCTACGTAGTAATGGAAAAAAGCGCCTCCACAAAAAGCTCTATTCTTACGACCTTTATGTTTGTATTTTTTTTATAAATATTTTTGCAATTGCCTCTATTTTGATTCTCTATTAGAAAACATATTAAAATGAAGATATTACCAATCCCTAAATCGATTAAAGTAATTTTTTTTTAAACGGCATAAAGAGAGCAAATTATAAAAAATAGTGTAAGACCATGAAGTAAATTATTTTTTTAAAATAACTTGTGTACGCCACTCGTTTTTTAAACTTAAATTCGTACTCCAAGACTGGTTTTATGAAACTTGTTTTTTATTATGATATTTTATTATATTTGGGGAGTTTTGATGCCTATTATCATGTAAAGTTTTTAATTTTTTTGGCAAAAATATAACAAAATATCTATTTTGGGACGCTTTATCTTTTTTTTTCTTGTTACGACGTTTACAGGGACAGTTTATATTTTTAGTCTTTTATATTTAATTGGGAAATAAACATTTCACTTGATTTTTTCACACAAGTTATTTTTAACCCCCAAAGTCCCTTTCGTTTTACTTCATGGTCTTACACTATTTTTTATAATTTGCTTTCTTTATGCCGTTTTAAAAAAAAAATACTTTAATCGATTTAGGGATTGGTAATATCTTAATTTTAATATGTTTTTTAATAGAGAATCAAAATAGAGGCAAATTTCAAAAATATATTTATAAAAAAAATTACAGACATGAAGGTAGTAAGAATAGAGCTTTTTGTGGAGACGCTTTTTCCCATTACTACGTACCAATCCCTAAATCGATTAAAGTAAAAATTATTAAGGTTTGGAGAGTTTTGATGCCTATTATCGTGTAAAGTTTTGAATTTTTTGGCAAAAATATAACAAAATACCTATTTTGGGACGCTTTATCGTTTTTTTTTCTTGTTACGGCCTTTACAGGGACAGTTTATATTTTAGTTTTTTATATTTAATTGGGAAATAAACATTTTACATGATTTTTCAAACAAGTTATTTTTAACCCCCAAAGTCCCTTTCGTTTGATTACCTCCAACATGTTCCTGGGATTTTCTCAGAATGCAATTTTTACAAATTTCGAATGTTTTTGTTGCTTTAATATTTTATTCAAAATGCTATTTGTATTGTTTGCTAAATTCAGTTTGTTTCTAAAATTGTATCAGTTCGTCGGTCCCTCGGGATACTTCCACTCCGTTTCAATTTTCGTATTCTCTTGCAAGAAAGAGCTTTGTTTTTTATTTGACACCTAATTTTACAGTTAAATTGCTTTATCATATCTCTAATTTTGATTTGTGGTGTGGAATGCGACTTTAGAAAATTTCTAGTTAAAACATTGTGCAATTTGGCCTTGTTTTATTTTTTAATTGTTTTGTTTTATCAGTCACACTCAAGGTAGCACAAAATCAAAACAAAACTACTTCAACAGATACTATTTTTTGTCGAAAATATATCCTTTGACAAATTTGCTTTGTCTTTGGAATCATCCAACACCGTGAACGAAAAGAATTTATGCATACTCAAAGGAACTTGAAACTTTATTATTTGATCCACAAGATAATTCAGTTTTAAATATTAAAGTTGCTAAAGGGAATGTTTGTTTCGTCTTTCCAGCGAAATAATTCTAAACCCACAAGCTTAATTTATCGATTTACCAAAGAACCGATATTTATTGTTACGAGTATTCCAAGCTTACATTTTATTTGTTGTTGCTTTTATTGAGATTTTCTCTATGTTGGTATTTTTTTTCAGGGAAATCCAAGCCGCGTCTGGTGAGTGGATGAACGAGTTCGTGCGAAGACCCAGCAGGAGACGGGACAACAGGGTTTATGTACCCGCTGCTGACATCATCAAGCGAACAATACGACGATCATGGACCATCTCGAGTTAGTAACAATTCTTGTAAATTATGACCAGTCAAAATAAAAAAAAACTCCTCGGAGTTTAATCTCGATAGACCAAACAACAAGTTTTGAACAGATACTGTTGAGTTTCATCAGATTTAGAGAGTTGGAAAAGCAAAAAGTACAGTTTTGTGACCTATTATATTTTTCATGAACTTCAATAAAACAAATCTGATCGACTGTTGAAAAATAAATTCCTTTCAGTCAGTTAGGTCTAAACCCTTTACAATCAAATAAACATCTGCATGAGTTTATTTCGGGGGCAAAACAAGCTCTCATCTCAGCCTTAATGGAAGAATTATTCATATTTTTGACGACCAAATAAAATTTCAATCGATTATTTATATCCTGAGTTTTTGTAAAATCATTGATACGTGTGAACGTGCGAAATGATGTTTTCATGGCTATTGCAACGTCACTTTTGTCGCTTTTAATGATTGTAATTGATTTTATTTATTTTCATCATTGACAAGAGTGATAAGTTTTACAAGTGCCTTACCTTTCGATTTATTAGTAAATAAATACAGCAATTTAGTTACTAGGCACTAATTTTAACTACACTTCAAAATTTTTATCAATTGAGTCAGTTTGGGAAATGTTGATTTGATCAAAACTAATTGATCCGGAATTTATTAGCAATGTGTTGTTTCCAAGCAAAATTTTTATTATTTTGTATTTTCATTTTCGTGACCAGTTTACAGTTTAGAATATCTACTTCTGGTCTCTGGATAAAAACAATAAAAGAGCTGAAATAAGAAACAATAAATTTTGTAAACTGAAATTTTTAATTTTTTCAAATGTCGGTCTTTTTTATAACAAAAAGTTGAATAATTCCGAAATAGAAAGAGATAGACCTATAATGGTTCACATAAAGTGCTATTGTTTTTTTACGTAAAAACTAATAATGTAAACATACAGGGTGATCCAGATTGCGTGCAAGCTCCCTAACTTTTTTTCTATCATCGACTTGATTTTTTTTAAACGATAGGTCCTATAATGAAGAACATTTCAAAAATATTTTTATTTAATACAGAATATTCCAAAATAATACACAACTAAGTTCTGTTTTTTTAATGAAAACCTCCAATTTTTGTTACATTTATGAATTGGCCATTAAATTTTCGATATGACAATAACGCGATTTTTTCAAATACAACATCTTATATTTTATTGCATGGCATTTTTTTATGAGCTTTTTGTCGGGGTAAGGTTTGTGGGGTCTATTTTGTAATATTTGTGAGATTTCTGCAAAATTTGAAATGTTGATGTTTTTTTTTTGAAAAAAAAAGTAATCGAGTAGGGCCGATGAAAAATTTGACACATCAATACAATTGTGAAAAGAATATGTTTTAACAAAACAAAATTGTAATAGAAACAGGAGTAAATCACAAAGGAAATGTTTTTAGTACCTAATCTTTACAAGAACAGGAAACGATGATTGACAGGAAACAATGTAAAAATCCTGAGAAAAGTCTACTTATAGAAAATGCTCAAATAAGTAACCATCATGTTCAAGCGTTGCTTCATCAATTAAATAGAAGGCTAATAGTTTTTTATTTTTTTGTAAAAAAATGGAAGGCTAATAGATTTCTTTTTTTTTAATCAACATTTTTTATTTTGCTAAATCTTACAAATTTTACCAAGTAGATCCCACAAACTTTGTTTGACCTTTATCTCAAAAAATGGGCTTAAGCTTGAGGAATCGGCTGGAAAAAAGTTGGTTAAGTTATCTTAAATGGTTCTGAAGTTATGAATTTTTCTGTGGGGGGCACGACGTTATTTTGACACATAAATTGACATAAGTCAAAAACTATTGGAGATAAGTCTTAGAAACAGGATTCGTTATATCGATAATTTAGTGGCGAATTCAAAAATGTAACAAAAAATGGGAGTTCTTAATTTAAAAAACAGAACTTAGTTGTGTAACTTATTATGGGACAACCAGTATTAAATAATAGTTATTTATTCTACGAGTTTGAGTGTAAATCATCCACGAGGTGGAATAAAGCGTCCGATATACACTCAAAAGAGTTGAATACAACATTTTATTTTCCGAATTAAACTGGACAAGGTTTAAACTTGCTTTAAATCTGTTAAAAATAATCTGAAAACAAACAGTTGTCAAAACTTCTTTACACGGGAGAAAAACCGTAAATTTTGACAGTGTCGAAGAATAAAAATATTTTTGAAATGTGCTTCTTTTAAAAAAAATCAAGTGCATATCTTGTATAGAAAAAAAGTCGCGCACCCCCGTGACACTGTATCATCGGGCGATGCCCTAGATAACAAGAAAAATGCAAAAAAATCTATCTATAAAAATTTCGAAGTAATGGGAGTTTCAATTTTGCACTTTGACTTTTT